TTTAAAGAAAAAAATATTTTTTTCTTATGAAATGTTTTTCTGAAGGCAATGAAGCCAAAAGTTTGAAATTTGATGGAAAACTTGCAGAATTACGCTCTCACAGTTAGCAATCTCAGCGATATTTACTCATTTTGATGTGAAGGCTTACTCAGCCCTGTAACAACTTCAGACAGTATTACTCAGGCTGGCTCCTCCTCAGGAAAATTAATGAATAGAAAAGGAAATAATAATTCACAAAGATAAACACTTTATTATTTATTAAATCAAACATAAAACAATAAAACATGAAAGGTATATCCTATTTGAAAGAAAAATGAAAAATGAAATGAATAAAATAACATTTGAACTCAACGCTAATATCTACAGGGGTGTCTGGTGTTGGTGACACTGTTGTTGAAATCGTAGCCGTTGCTGATGATGGGGTGGGGGGGGGGGTCGCAGGTGTTGGTGACCATCCACTGGCTAGTTCTTCACAGTATACCAGTGAGTAATCTCTCCCGATGACAGGAAAGCAGGTTCTTTACCGCTGCAATGATGTGGGGTTACGTCCTGCAATTTCATACAGGTGCACAGGTAATTAGATCCAAAATGGAGAAGTCTCTGGACGTTAGTCCTCCTGTTCTTCTCGTTGATTGACAGGTGACCCTCACTGTCATCCAAGCTGAAAAGATAGACAGGTTACCCACTGCTTAAATAATCACTCTCCATGGCAGTGTACATTACTCAAAAGACGTGGTGATTATTACAACAGTCAAGAGCAAGACAGAAAGGACTAAGTTTATTATTGGTCAAAAGTGAAGCTTTTAACCAATAAATCCACTAGAATACAAGGCAGGCATGTACTTACAGTAGTGTTGGGAGCTGCGAGTCGAGTGATTTACTGTTTGACCAGAGCCCCATATGTCACCTTTCGAGGGGGGGGGGGAAGAGGGAGGGGAAGGGATAGCGGGAGCTAGACTGACCCTACGTTAACAAGCAGCCGGCAATCAAACTATCACTAGGGGTGGGGGGGGGAGAAAAGGCGGGAAAAACGGGAGCGTGACTTACCCTACCTTAACTAGCAGCCGGTAATGAAACTATTGTTAATATATTGCTACTCCTATCTATTGAACTTTTCCCTCACAGTTGACTTCACCCATAAGACACCTGGTGTCGTTGTACCTTTATTTATTTATTTAATAATTTGAACATACATACAGAGGTACAAAAAAAATACAGGTAAGAGCAGCATGCCAAAGCCACTTGTATGCATAGCATTACGGGCAGGCTTAAAATTAACATAAGATTAACTAAGCAATGATGTAAACAGTGATAAAACATTATTGTAAACAGATAACAATAAAGCACAAATGAGTATTACAAAGACAGGTCATATGGTTGCATGCATTGCTGTACATTCAGTAGAATGGAGTATTCTGTTAGGTAGTGTATTTAAAAAATAACAAAGTTAGATTGGGTCTTAGGTTTAACATTTATGTGATATAATTGTGAGAAACATTTAAGATATACAATTTATAAGGTTCAGTTATTCAGTATTTATTTGGTTTTGGGCGAGTAAGTGATCTTTGAGAAGAGACTTGAATTTATAAATGGGTAGTATTTCTTTTATATTTACAGGTAATGAATTCCAGATTTTAGGGCCTTTTATGTGCATTGAGTTTTTGCATAGCATGAGATGGACACGAGGAACATCAAAGAGTGATCTGTGCCTTGTGTTATGGTCATGTGTTCTGTTGAGGTTGGCAAGGAGATGTTTGAGGGGAGGGTTAATATCAGAGTTAAGTGTTCTATGTATGTAATAGGTGCAGTAATAAGTATGGATGTTTTGTATGGTGAGTAGGTTTAGTGTTTTGAATATTGGTGGAGTGTGCTGCCTGTAGTGGGAATTTGTTATCATTCTGACTGCAGCCTTTTGCTGGGTAATTAGTGGTCTGAGATGGGTTAATTGTTGTTGAGCCTGTTCATCCATCAGTTCAAAATGGGTACCTGGGTGTTAGTTGACTGTTGTGGGTTGCATCCTGGGACAAAACTGGCCTAATTTGCCCAAAATGGTCAGCATAACAAGTGACTTTCTATATAGTAGTATGTCATTGATATCAGCTAGGCCTGTATACGATGTACATTTTTTTTTTTTTTTTTTTTTTTTTTTTTTTTTTTTTTTTTTAGCAAACTGGCCATGTCCCACTAAGGCAGGGTGGCCCAAAAAGAAAAATGAAAGCTTTTCTTTTTAAATTTAGTAATTTGTACAGGAGAAGGGGTTACTAGCCCTCTTGCTCCCGGCATTTTAGTTGCCTCTTACAACACGCATGGCTTAGAGGAAGAATTCTGTTCCACTTCCCCATGGAGATAAGAGGAAATAAACAAGAACAAGAATTAGAAAGAAAATAGAAGAAAACCCAGAGGGGTGTGTGTGTGTGTATATATGCTTGTACATGTATATGTAGTGTGACCTAAGTGTAAGAAGTAGTAGCAAGACTTACCTGAAATCTTGCATGCTTGAGACAGAAAAAAGACACCAGCAATCCTACCATCATGTAAAAGAAATACTGGCTTTCGTTTTACACTCGCTTGGCAGGACGGTAGTACCTCCCTGGGTGGTTGCTGTGTACCAACCTACTACCTACAGCAAATAAAGTTATTATTGTAATAAAGTTGGTAGAATTACCGACAATATGTAAAGTAAAAGGACACAAGTGCAACTAATGTGACATTTATTGTGGCAACGTTTCGCTCTCCAGGAGCTTTATCAAGCCATTACAAACAATACATCATCCCTTCAAGCGTCACTTGGTTACGTTACGTGGACGATGTCCTCGTAATAACTCCAAAACGTTTTGATGTACGGGATCTTCAGGCAAGGCTCAACGCAGTTGAACCAGCGATTCAGTTTACACTAGAAGAAGAGTCCAATGACAAGCTACCTTTCCTCGACGTCCTCATTCACAAAGTAGACAACAACCTAAGATTTCAAGTTTATCGGAAACCCACCAATAAAAATGATCTCACACACTTCTATTCCAGTCAAGATACCAAGACCAAAAGAGGCATCATCATCGGGTTTTTCCTAAGAGCATACCGAATTTGTAGTCCTGAGTTTCTTGACGAGGAATGTACTTACATTCACCAAACATTCACTGAGTTACAATTTCCTTCTTTTTTCATCAAAGACTGCAAGAAAAGAGCTCTTCAGATCATCAATTCTCCACGCATCAACACCGCTCCCAACAAAGTTATAATTCTTCCCAACAGCCAGGTTGCACTAAACGTCTCAAAAGTACTTTCACAAGCTAACACCAGAGTCGCCATCGCTTCTACCACTTCAATAAAGGATCTAACCAGGACAAAACCCAAGCACCACGAACCAGTCATGCAGGAGTTTACACTATACCCTGTGGAGGCTGTGACAAGATCTACGTAGGTGAAACAGCAAGAAACCTCGACACCCGCCTCAGTGAACACATATACGCATGTAGGAACGACAACTTAAACAACGCCTGTGTACAACACCGAAATTCCACCAATCATCTTATGAAATTCAGAGACGCCCAATTAGTGATAAAAGAAACTAATTTCCGCACACGCAAGTGCCTTGAATCAGCACTGATCGCTGTTTCGAATACAATTAAACAAAACAACGGCAGCTTCACCATCTCCGAAGTCTTAGCAAGAATCCTCCTGAAAACAGTAAACCCTGCCATCACATAGTCTCTCCTGTTATACTACACAAAGCACAGAGAGTGAACACTGAAACAACCTGCCTCATTCCAGTTTATATTTGTCCAACCTATTTTTATGTTACCCAAGTAATAGCTTTTATATCCTTTTACTCATGTACGAATTAATTGCTCTACCATATTGTATTACTTTTGTCACTACCACTACTACTACTACTACCACTAGTGAACATCGAAATGGTACCTCGCTAGTATTCACCTCACTCTGAGCCTTTATATACCCTGTGTGTCCATGTATTGTTTGTAATGGCTTGATAAAGCTCCTGGAGAGCGAAACGTTGCCACAATAAATGTCACATTAGTTGCACTTGTGTCCTTTTACTTTACAAAGTTATTATTATTATATTATTATTGTTCCAGTCAACCAGACTTATAGCTGCTTTGCTAGTATTCCTTATATTCTATTAATTGCATAAAAGAAGCTGTCCATTTACCTATTTCAACTACCCAAAAAAGTGTAAACATTCCTAGCATTAAAAAAAATTTCCTCTGTTCATTAGTTATGTCCCCAGGCTTGTTGTCCATTTTTAATTTTTATTCACACAAACAATAGAAGATTTACTGTTATGCAGACTACTGCATTATTGTAATACAGTCTCTCCTCACTTAATGATGCAATTTCATTCCTAAGACTATGTCGGTAAACAAATTCGTTGCTTAGCAAGGGATGTAAATATACTATAATGGTAGTGGGTTTGTGTCGGCCATCTTTGATATTGTTTTAATGTCACCTTTGCACCATTTATAACATTTTTAGTATATGTATTTTTAAATGTTTGTACAGAAGTGTACTATATATTGTAATAAACAGAATGGAGGAAATCAACTCTAATATACATTACATTATTTAGGTTTGTATACTAATCAGAGAGCATGTTGTAAGTCTGAGTCATTGGTAAACGAGTACATCGCTAAGTGAGGAGAGACTAATTGTTTAAATAATGTCAGTGCATTCCTAAACACATACATGTATTAGACTTGCCAGTTGGACACGTATTGGATGAGTGATATTTTTGTGTACTCTGGAAAAATTTAACATTTCCACTACTATGAGCTCTTATTTCAAGCTACTTTGAGTCCTGCAACCAATCACAATCTTCTCTCTCTGTAATATATCTTCCATTCTATCAAATGAAATAAAAAAAAAAAAAAAAAGAATCCAACCGTAAATTGCTCCTTATGGGAATAGACTTTATCTCACGTTTACATTGTGCATGTGTCTACTTAATATTTGTGAAATTCTAACTTGAGCTTTATTGCCTTTAGAAAAAATTGGAGATAAACTAGCTAGAATAGAAGACAAGATGCAAGTAAATGATGACGACGACGATGATGATGATGATGATGATGAGGAGGAGGATGAAGATGAGGATGACGAGGATGAGGACGAGGACGAAGAGGAGGTTGAGGATGAAGAAGATGAGGACGAGGATGAGGACAATGATAAAGACAACGAAGATGAGGATGTAGAGGAGGAGGAGGAGGAAGAGGAGGTTATCAAAAGTAAGTTGTTTGTTTTTTTGTACAATATCCTGGCTAAATTTGCATTGGTTGGCTTCTAGCCCTTGCCAAAGCCACTTTTGACTGAGTTGACTTGAATTAGCCCTGTCATGTCTTTTACAACCAAGTGTGGAGTTTGCCTCCACTGTGTCCTTGCTCAGCTTATTCTTTTTTATCAATCGTGTTGTAAACCTTTCCTATAGCCCTGTGGCTCGTAAGGGTGTGTAATATCTAACTCTGCCCCCTCTTATTGCTTTAGTGCGTCGTCGTGGTCCAGGTCCATGATGTTCTTCGTGTCTTCAGAGACTTGAGACCTAGTTCTCAAATTCTTTGTTGTTTATTTCCCCCTAATTTAGGTACCATTCTTTATGCATTTATTTACCTCTGTGTTTTGCCTTTTGCTGTACATTGACACTGCATATTTAAGAATGGGTCACACTTTTGAGATAGTGTGTTTTGAGCGAATTTGTATATGTTCCTGAATAGAAGTTTGAGAGAAGGGGTTGGGATCCCTGCTCTCAAACTTGCTCTTAGGGTCATAAAATTAAAAAAAAAAATGAAATGGTAGAGTATCTTTTTCTTAAGGTAATGAAGCCAAAGGTACCAAATTTGATGGAAAACTGACAAAATAACGCTTTAGTAAGTTTTGCTGCATCGGCAGTATTTACACTTTGGGGATTTCGCCCACTTTGAGTCTGATTTTAGTCCAGTTACATTATTCTAGTCAACCAAATTCTTAGCTGTTTTGCTGGTATGGCTTTCATTCTATCAATTGAGTACAAGAACCCTTCAAGGAAGGTTCCTTGATGTTGGTGAGGGGCTCTTGATTTAGGGAATTGGATCTGTGCTCCAGTTCCCCGAATTAAGCCTGAATGCCTTCCACATCCACCCCCCAGGCGCTGCATAATCTTCCGGGTTTAGCGCTTCCCCCTTGATTATAATAATAATAATAATAATGAGTACAAGGAACCACCCATTCACCTATTTCAACTACCCAGTAGTCATTAGAAATTGGTAATTTGGCCAATTTCACACAAAATTCAAGAAGTGCCAATTTCAAAATAGGGTCCAGAATGAACAATGCAGACATTCCTGTCACTAAAATAACATTTCCTCTGTTCATTAGTTACGTCCCTAGGCCTCTCCAATATTACTCATGATTTCCATTTAAAATTTTTATTCATACAAAAAAATAGAAAATTTACTGTTATGCAGGCTACTGCATTATTGTAATAATTGTATAAATAAATGCATTCCTAAAAGCATGTTAGACTGGACAGATGGACGTATGTTGGATGACTGACATCATTTGTGTACTCTGGAATATCGGCAAAAATCGAACATTTCTGCTACTTTAAGCTCAATTTAAAGCTTATTTTAATCCTGAAACCATTCAAAATCCTCTGTTTCTGTGATATATCTTCCATTGTATCAATGAGACCAAGAATACAACCATAAAAGCCATATGAAAATACACCACAGTATTGCTGTTTTAAACCAAAAACATGGTCAGTTTTTCCCCCATTATGCACTGCTTGTTGCAGGATTTTTTTTTTATATGATGCACACTTACCACATAGACCCATTCTCATATCTAGGCCCAAATTTACTGCTCCCAGCTTTTCTGATTGAGAACTACGTGACTGACCCGGGTTTCAGAGCCATAGAACAAAGGGACTCGCCCCTCAAAGGGTTCAAAGGTTAACCTGTGTTGCTGTTGACCTTGTTAATGTGAGCTTTAGGGGACAGTTTGGGGGATTACAGTTTTTACCAGCCTTTCTATGAAAGTTATTTGACTTATTTGGCACTTTGTCTTCAGTATTGTTTGTTTATCATTTTAAGATTTTGAGTCTTTCCTCTATATTAGCACTTTGTAACTGGGGGGTGAGGTATGGTGGGGGGTTGAGTAATTTCCAGGGGAAAGTGCTGTTCATTATGGGGAAGGGGGCCTTGGAGGTTCAGTAATTTCCAGGGGGAGGTGTGAACCAAGAGCATAAAGAAGAAATGGCCTTTACATGTGTTTGTATATCCTTGTTTGGATTTTCATGGAGTGGGGGAAGATCTCGCTTATCAAAGATAGTTCAAAAAGTGAAAAATTTAGGTAAACCTCGTATTTTTGTCCCGGGGAGATTACACTTCAATTGATTGGTTTAATATATTGTGTTTGAATAACTGTATAATGTCTTTTAATTGCATCCCAGCACTAAATTTAATGCAAATCAAGACAGGTTAAAACAGCTGCTTGCTACATTGGATTGTAAACGTGCTTGGCTGATAGTACTTTGATATTAAGGTCATGTGGTTGTTTGTATGATCATGTGTTTATCAGAATAAAGTATTTTTAGTTACAGCTGAAGCCAGATCTCCATGAAAAGTTCCAATCTGAAGGATTTCAGCTGTCTTTAGCCTGTTGAATATCAAGAATCTGCAAGGAAAGGGCATCAACATCATTGCGCAATGCATCTTCATTCGAGCCTTCTTGGCCAAACTCAACATCCGGAAGGGTTGAATAGAGGATAGAAACAGGCTGTTTTGCAAATTTGGATTCCTCTGTCCTGCCTGGTCAGCTCAATTCCAGGTTGAGAGAGTCAGCACTCATCTGACTGAACATAAAACAGAATTCGTTTATTTATTTGCATGAAAAGTAACAAGACCTGAAAATTCATCAGGAACCCATTCCAATGTAATGTATCTAATGTTGTGGACAAAGTGCAGCAAGAGTTCCTTGAGATTACATTCACTTCCTGAGCTGAGGACTCATTCAAAACTGGATCTTGAGATGTTCTGGGTCAAATACCTTTGTGTTGACCCCATTCTTATATCAGGTTGTACAGGTTATTAAGAGCCACACATCTTTGTGAGGCTGCATGTTTTGAGCTAGCTATTGTCAAGACCAAATACAAACAAACTGTACATTGGAAGAGACTTGTACTGTGCTCTCTGGCATGTACCCATGTATTTGGGATCTGGTAGATCAGAAACAATGTCAGAAATCTTGTAAATGTGTTCTCACTTTGTGTTGTGTGTTTACAATTTGTTCCTCAAACAAACTCTTGAATAGTAAAAATTGATAGTCAAGAATGAAAATTAATTTCTCATGTGTATATTTTTTGTTCCAGCTTGCATTTGTAATCTATGCTCTATGTCTCTCTCTCAAGTCATCTGAGTCTAGGAATAGACAGTCCACTCATCCCTCTTTCCTGTCAGACTTCTGTTAATCTGTCATATAGTTCTACAAGCTTTATAAGTATGACATTTTGTTTGAATCTGTGTTTGATTTTGGGTGTTCTGAGGGATCCAGTACTTTAAAGATGATACAACAAGCCACTTTCTTATTTTTGAAAAGCAGGTAGGGACACTATTTCAGGGCTGGCTGTCATCTTGAATATGGTTCTGATATTAACCCTTTGACTGTTTCGGTCATATATATACGTCTTACGCGCCACTGTTTCAGACGTATTTAAACGCGTAAATTCTAGCGGCTTCAAATCAAGCAGGAGAAAACTGGTAGGCCCACGTGTGAGAGAATGGGTCTGTGTGGTCAGTGTGCACCACATAAAAAATCCTGCAGCACACAGTGCATAATGAGAAAAAACAGCTGACCATTTTGTTTGGATTAAAACGCCGACTTTGAGGTATTTTCGTATAGTATTTATCGTATTCTCGTTTTCATGGTCTCGCATGATAAAATAGAAAACATATTACAGAAATAGAGATGATTTTGATTACTTTCTCGATGAAAACGACCTTGAAATTGAGCTCAAAGTAGCGGAAACATTCAAATTTTACCAACGTTCAGGTATAAGCAAATCACACCACACGTCCAATACACTTCAACTGGGGAGCCTAATATTCTTTCACTAGTGCACTGATATTATACCATTTTTACAATAATGCAGTAGTCTGCAGAACAGTAAATTTTTTATTTTTTGTATGAATAAAAAATAAAAATAGAAAGCAATAGTATTATAAGAGGGGCTAGAGACGTGACTAATGAACAGAGGATATGTTATTTTAGTGCCGAGAATGTCCACATTGTTTATTCTGGACCCTATTTTGAAATTGGCATCTTTTTTATTTTGTGCAAAATTAGCCAAATTGCCAATTTCTGACCACTTTGTTGGGTAGTTCACATCGGTAAGTGGGTGGTTTCTTGTACTCAACTGATAGAAAAAATGGAGTTCTAAAGAAATAGCTACAAGTTTGGTCAATTGGAACAACGGAACTGGTCAAAAACAGGGCTCAAAGTTGACGAAATCGCTGATGCGTATGTCATCGAGACCGCTAACTTCGCGGGAGCATAATTCCGTGAGTTTTCGACCAAATTTCGTACTTTTGGTGTCATTCTCTATCATTTCATAAGAAAAAATAATTTTTTTTTTTTTAAATTTTGCGACATAGAATGACAGTTTCAGAAAGGGGCTTGCGACAGTCAAAGGATTAAATTTGCCAACTCCCAGTTGTGCAATGCTTCACCAATCATTGAAGATTTCAGCTCTTAATATTGTTGTGATATTTCATCTGGTTCTGATGTCTTGGGCTGTATAGTCCTTGTGGCTTAGCACTTCTTTTTGATTATAATAATAATCTAATGTCTTGGATGACTTGGCTTATCATTCTCTCTCTCTCTCTCTCTCTCGCTCGCTCGCATACACTCTCGCGCACTCGCTCGCTCGCTCGCGCACACTCGCGCACTCGCTCGCTCGCTCCCTCTCTTGCTCGCACGCTCTCGCTCGCACGCTCTCTCTCGCTCGCACGCTCCCCCTCTCTCGCTCGCACGCTCCCCCTCTCTCGCTCGCATGCTCCCCCCCTCTCGCTCGCACGCTCCCTCGCTCGCACGCTCCCCCTCTCTCGCTCGCACGCTCCCCCCCTCTCGCTCGCACACTCCCTCTCTCGCTCGCACACTCCCTCTCTCGCTCGCACACTCCCTCTCTCTCGCGCACACCCTCTCTCGCTCGCACGCTCTCTCGCTCGCTCCCTCGCTCGCACGCTCCCTCCCTCTCTCGCACGCTCCCTCTCTCTCGCACGCTCCCTCTCTCGCATGCTCCCTCTCTCTTGCATGCTCCCTCTCTCTCGCACGCTCCCTCTCTCGCATGCTCCCTCCCTCGCACGCTCCCTCTCTCGCACGCTCCCTCTCTCTCGCATGCTCCCTCTCTCGCACACTTGTGCTCTAGCTCTTGTTTCTCTATAGTGCTCTCTCTAGCTCACTCTCTCTGGTTATGGCTCTTGCTCATTGGGTTAAGCTTGTTACATACCTCTGTTATTTCTCCAAAGTGTTTTCTCTTCTCGTTGTTATCACAATCCATTATGTTCTTCCTAACATGAAAAGAAAAATACTTGACTCTATCTGGCTGTTATGTCCTAGCTGAATATCATTATTTCTGGCTCTAGCATGCGAAGTTTGGGTCTTTTTTTCATTCTCCATAGATTTGTTTTCTACAATTTTGCATTCTAGTATTGATGATTGAATCACGAACTGTTCTTGTAGCTTTTTGTAATCTCTGTCCTGGTATCTTTTCTTTTACTTGTTTGAACTCCTGTTTGAAAATCAGTGTTCTTGTTTGTAGTCCAGTTGCTATATAATGCATTAGATTAGTAGTTTATTAACATTTTTATAAATTTTGTGAATATAGGTCTTTAGGTAAAGCTTTATTCTGTATATCACTGTCAAGGAAGTAGTGGTTGAGATGGTTGAGCTACATAGTGTTTTTTTTTTTTTTTTTTTTTCAGATGTGAGCACTCCAAAAATGACTGAAAATCTCTCAAAGCAAAAAATCCTTTCAAAGGATTCTAATGTTGGAGAACCTAACTCTGTAGAAGTCAAAACACCCAAAGCAGAGGGAAAGAAAATTAAAAAGGCTAAAACTCCAAAGCAGGAAGTAAAAATGCCGGATAAACAGAAAGGTAAACTTGGTATTCTTGAGAAGACTCCAGTGAAGCAAGAAACAGAAGCACAAAAGAACAAAACTGCTAAAGATGTGAATGCTATGAATGGGGTAAGAAACTTGTGAATTAATTACTACACTCAAAATTTTTTACAAAAATTTAACTTTAATACCCTTATTATAAAAAACTAATTATATGAGATTTAAATATTTGAAAGTTTTCCTGTGTCAATAAGTTGTAAAGAATTGTTACATTTTTAGATTGTTAGTGAAGTAGCCTAAGAACTCAAAAAGGTTTAAGGTATAATTTTGTTTTAATTAGATGTTTAAACATTAGATAAATCAAAATAAATCAGAGGGTGTGTAAAGGAAGAAAGCTGAAAGTGAACATAAATAAGAGTAAGGTGATGAGGGTATCAAATGAGTTAAGTAAAGAAAAATTGGATATTACATTGGAGGGAGGGAGTGAATTTTTTTTAACAAGTTGGCCGTCTCCCACCGAGCCAGGGTGACCCAAAAAGAAAAGAAAAAATCCCCAAAAAGAAAATACTTTCATCATCATTCAACACTTTCACCTCACTCATACATAATCACTGTTTTTGCAGAGCTGCCCAGAACACGACAGTTTAGGAGCATATACGTATAAAGATACACAACATATCCCTCCAAACTGCCAATATCCTAAACCCCTCCTTTAAAGTGCAGGCATTGTACTTCCCGTTTCCAGTACTCAAGTCTGGTTATATAAAAATAACTGGTTTCCCTGAATCCCTTCACTAAATATTACCCTGCTTACACTCCAACAGCTCCTCAGGTCCCAAATACCATTAGTCTCCATTCACTCCTATCTAACACACTCGCGCATGCTTGCTGGAAGTCCAAGCCCCTCGCCCACAAAACCACCTTTACCCCTCTCCCTCCAACCTTTTCGAGGATGACCCCTACCCCACCTTCCTTCCCATACAGATTTATACGCTCTCCATGTCATTCTACTTTGAATGAAAGTGTGAGCATTTTATGGGAGTGTATGGAGATGAACTGTTTTTGTTACCTGACAAGCTGTTGGAGTGTGAGCAGGGTAATATTTTGTGAAGGGATTCAGGGAAACTGGTTAGCCAGACTTGAGTCCTGGAGGTGGGATGTACAATGACTTAACTTTAAAGTAGGGGTTTGGGATATTGGCTTTTGGAGTAACATCTAAATTGTCGTATCTGAGTGCCTCTGGAAAGACAGTGATTGTGTGAATGATTGTGAAAGTGTTTATTTTTTGGGGTCGCCCTGATTTGGTGGGAGACGTCTGACGTGTCGAGAAATATCAATATAGCCTCTTTAAAGCATATTCCTGAATGCTTTGGTAGATAAATGTAACAAAAAATATTGGAGGGACAAGTGGAGTCCGTATTGATACTTGCGTAATACAAATGTTCAATAATCTGGAGTAGATACTTTGAGAAAGAATATTTGTAATGACTACAAATGTGAGGGGCTTGAGCATCCAACAGACGTGTTAGAGTGAGTGCAAGCGAGTACTTTTTGTGACTTGACATGCTGTTGAGCAAGATAACATTTATGAAGGGATTTAGGGAAATCGGTTAGCCAGATTTGAGTTTTTGAGGTGTGAAGCACAGTACCTGCACTGCGAAGTTAGGGCAGGAATATTACATTTTAGAAGTGCATCTGAGCTGTAAAGTTAGCTTGCCTCTGGCTAGAGGGTGTTGAAGTGAGTGATGGTGAAACTTTTCTTCTATTTTTGGGTCATCCAACTTTGGTGGGAGATGGCTGGTGTGTTAAAAAATCTTCTTATACCAATATTCAGTATTAATTTCATATTCAGATATTTTGTTAGTTTTGATTGAGGATTCTCTCATTATACAGTAGTTTGACTAAACATCAGTAAAGGAAAAAATTAATTTTCATGCCTAAAGAAATAAAGGATGAGTGCTAGCTTTGTGAATATGAAGATCATAGTAAACCTAAAGCCCAAATGCACTGCAATACTGTACTCTCAAAATATTTGCTTATGTGGTAATGTTGGACTAGTAGGAAAATTAGAAACCATTAGCTAAAATTTATTTTTTTTTCAACAAACCGGCCGTATCCCACCAAGGCAGGGTGGCCCAAAAAGAAAAATGAAAGTTTCTCTTTTTAAATTTAGTAATTTATGCGGGAGAAGAGGTTACTAGCCCCTTGCTCCCGGCATTTTAGTCGCCTCTTACAACATGCATGGCTTACGGAGGAAGAATTCTGTTCCACTTCCCCATGGAGGTAAGAGGAAATAAACAAGAACAAGAACTAGAAAGAAAATAGAAGAAAACCCAGAGGGATGTGTATATATATATATGCTTGTACATGTATGTGTAGTGTGACCTAAGTGTAAGTAGAAGTATCAAAACGTACATAAAATCTTGCATGTTTATGTTTATGAGACAGAAAAAAGAACACCAGCAATCCTACCATCATGTAAAACAATTACAGGCTTTCGTTTTACACTCAATTGGCAGGATGGTAGTACCTTCCTGGGTGGTTGCTGTCTACCAACCTACTACCTAGAATTAGCTAAAATATATTTATAAAATATATTTGGAGTGTGAGCAGGGTAATATTTAGTGAAGGGATTCAGGGAAACTGGTTATTTTTATATAGCCAGACTTGAGTCCTGGAAATGGGAAGTACAATGCCTGCACTCTAAAGGAGGGGTTTGGGATATTAGCAGTTTGGAGGGATATATTGTGCATCTTTATATGTATATGCTTCTGAACTGTTGTGTTCTGAGCACCTCTGCAAAAACAGTGATTATGTGTGAGTGAGGTGAAAGTGTTAAATGATGAAAGTATTTTCTTTTTGGGGATTTTCTTTCTTTTTGGGTCACCCTGCCTCGGTGGGAGACGGCCGACTTGTTAAAAAAAAAAAAAATTGTAAGTCATTCTTCATTGAATATCAACTCAAATGTGAAGTTCAGTTGAAGGAGGGAGTGAATGAGCCCTATTGAATAAGAGTGGGAAGCAGTTCGTTTGTATTTTGAAATAAGAGTTGTATATTTTGCTGTGAATGACTAAATTTTCTATATGCTGCAGGAAAATGAACTTACAATGCAGATAAAGGCATATTCAAAATTATGGTGATGCTTGCTTAGTTTGTAACCAGCAAAAAAAAAATTTATATGGAACTTCAGGCAACTGTAGTACATGTCTCTTGTAGAGGTTTATAATTTGAAAAATATTTTTTTACTTCTCTAGCAAGTTGAAGTATAGAATGATTCTGTTGCATTAGCATTGCATTTCCTATGATGAGACTTGATTTGTCTTGCAGAAATCTCCAAAACAGGAAAAGAAATCAGTCACAAATGCAGGTAAATAACATTATTGTATTCTAGTATATTTAATTTGTTTATATTTTAGAGTTTTATACATTTTACAAATACTTGTATGAAATTTGTGGTTTTATATATACATAATTTTAGGTGTGCACTAGATGGAAATATAAACAGATTGATTAAAAAATTTATTGAATACCTGTGACATTCGTATGAATTACTTAATAAGGCATACAGGTGTTTATTGTTATTGTCTGGGACCAGGCCTTGATCCACCCAGGTAGTCACTACCGGCTGCACAAAGTCCTATGTACTTGCCACTGCCCATTTGATCGTGAATTCCCATTTGCCAGGCTTGCTGTCATTGGAAGTGATTTGTGTGTGCTGATTTTGGACCAGTTTTGCTAGAATTTTCTTGGTGTATATTATAATGATTTTTGTTGTTTGCATTCCTTGGTAGTACAAGTTGAGGGACATTAAATGTTTCAGTAATCTAGGTGCTGTACTGAATTTATACTTGCCTTGAAGCTTCTCTGCACATTTCTAAATTTGTAGTTTTGCCCAGCTTAAAAGTAGCAATATTCTTCATTGCCAGTGCAGTGGACAAGTCTTGTAAAACAAATCTTAACATTGAGAATAAACTCGAGAAAGAATTCTACAACTCACGAACTCTCAAGTCAACTGGTTTGCTGGCAGCAGCAAGTCTAGTAAAGCAAGTGCATGCAGTAGGGCCCCACTTGTATGGTTAGGTTCCAAGTTACCATCGTGAAATGGAACGTCCTCTTTTTTCCACTTATAAATGCATATAAATGTCAGATAACAAGTTTACACCATGTATTAAGCTAGCAACAAAACTAGGCATTAAAAACTATAAAAGTAAAATATACATAGTGCACTCATTACTTGCCTTAAAATATGTGTACAGTAGGGCCCCACTTTACAGCCTTTCGCTTTACGGCGTTCCGCTAATACGGTCATTTCAAATTATGACCAAAACTCGCTATACGGCTCCCCCCACCTGACTTTCTGATACGGTCAACGCACCCCACCCTGTCTGTTGACATTCTCTGTGAGATCCGTAAGCACCAAGTCTCCATTATGTCTGGGAACTCTTAAAATTTCAAGTGTTTTTAAAAGTTATTTCATATTTTATATATACTCTGATAATTATACTTTTGTATACCTGTACCTAAATAAACTTGCATACTGTGCTTGCGTGCAGGTACACATTAAAATCAGTAAGAGTATCTTATATCTCGAGACGTCATATTAGTAATGATAATAATCGCCGAGTCTCATTTAAATGCCGTATATTACGTTAATATACACATTTTCATTAATCCATCTATGATATTTTTTCAAAATTATATAATAAACACGATGCATAACATATAAAGATGATAAATACACCCCACAGTAGAATAAATAAACATAAATATGAGATGTCGTAGCCAGACGACTTGCACAAATGACGCCATATTAGAAATAATAATAATAATCACCGAGTCTCATTAAATCTCATATATTACGTTAATATACACATTTTCATTAATCCATCCATGATATTTTTTTCAAAATTATATAATAAAAATGATATATAACATATACAGGTCTCCCTCAACATTCACGAGGGTTAGGGGATCAAGAGCCTCGTGAATGTTGAAAAGTCGCGAATGTTTGGTGCCCCAATATATTGTAGGGAAATATAATACAATACTGCTTCCTTAACTTGTCGAACCATGAACAATCATAAAATACATGAAAACATCGTAAATTGTACTAAATACATACGTTATGCCTTAATAACATGTATGTTATTAAATACCACTGCGAGTCCCTACTACCCTCCCTCTGACCCCCCACAACTGGCAGCCAGCCCTCCCACCACTGTGTGGTGAGTGTTTTGTTTGTTCATTATTTGCTATTAAACTACAGTATAAATAATGTCAACCCATTTATGACTGCATATTGGAATGGTTATTCGGACAGGTATTGGAAGATGACATCATGTGTATACTCTTGAACACAGTAAAGAATCAAACATTTGTGCTACTGCTACTGCTAATATTAATAATAATAATAATAATAAATACATAAGAAGAATGTAGGAACACTGCAGAAGGCCTACTGGCCCATACGAGGCAGGTCCTTATCAAAACGATCTCTACCTAAAGCTACCCAAGAAATAACTCCCGTACCCCATGACACCAATCAAACCCCATATATTTGTCCAGTCTCTTCTTAAAGCTACCCAAGGTCCTAGCCTCTATCACCCCACTAGGAAGACTGTTCCACGCATCTTCAACTCTGTTAGAAAACCGGTACTTACCTATGTCCTTTCTAAATCTAAATTTATCAAACTTATATCCATTATTTCTGGTTCTTGCCTGGTTCGACACCCTCAGTACTTTATTAATATCTCGCTTGTTTATGCCTGTCATCCACTTATACACTTCAATGATATCTCCTCTCATTCTACGCCTCTCCAGAGAGTGGAGATTTAAGGCTTTAAGTCTATCTTCATACAGGAGGTTCCTTACACAGTAAATCATTTTAGTCATTCTTCTCTGTATGTTCTCTAATGAGTCTATGTCCATCCTGTAGTAAGGAGACCAAAACTGAGCAGCATAATCTAAATGAGGCCTCACTAGTGATGTATAGAGCTGTAAAATAATTTTTGGACTTCTGTTACTTATACTTCTTGAGATAAATCCAAAGTAATCTGTTGGCCTTGTTGCACACACTAAGGCACGGCTGTCTTGGCTTTAGATTTCTGCTTACCATGACTCCCAAGTCTTTCTCACATTCTGTATGATCAAGCTCTACTTCACCTAGATTATAGCTTCGAGGGTTATTTTCATTACCAAGGGCAAGTACCTTACACTTATCCACATTGAACTTCATCTGCCATTTTTCAGACCAAGACATTAATTTGTCCAAATCGTCCTGGAGTTCATTGACGTCCTCCTCAGAGTGAATTATACGGCCTATCTTTGTATCATCAGCAAACTTACTCATGTCACTCATAATCCCTTCATCAAGGTCATTAATGTAAACTATGAACAAGAGTTATTTTCATATAGTCGGACTTGAGTCCTGGAAATGGGAAGTACAATGCCTGCACTTTAAAGGAGGGGTTTGGGATATTGGCAGTTTGGAGGGATATGTTGTGTATCTTTATATGTGTATGCTTCTAGACTGTTGTATTCTGAGCACCTCTGCAAAAACAGTGATAATGTGCGAGTGTGGTGAAAGTGTTGAATGATGATGAAAGTATTTTCTTTTTGGGGATTTTCTTTCTTTTTTGGGTCACCCTGCCTCGGTGGGAGACGGCCGACTTGTTGAAAAAAAAAAAAAATGAACAAGAGAGGGCCTAAAACTGATCCTTGTGGAACGCCACTAGTGACTAATCCCCCATTCAGATTTCACTCCATTAATGGTAACTCTATGCTTTCTATTGGTAAGCCATGCCTCAATCCATGCTAGAACTTTACCTCCTATACCATGAGCTGCCACTTTTCTTAAGAGTCTCTTGTGAGGTACTCTATCGAAAGCTTTACTAAAATCCAAATAAACAATATCATATTCCTTATCACTGTCAACTGCCTCAAATGTTCAATTGAAGAACGTCAGTAAGTTTGTCAGGCAGGAACGACCTCTCGTGAATCCATGCTGAGATTCATTTATCAAGTTATGCTCTTCAAGGTGACTTCTGATAATGTCAGCTATAATTGATTCTAATAACTTGCCCACTATAGATGTCAGGCTTATTGGATGGTAATTTGAAGGAGTGGACTTATCCCCTGATTTGAATATAGGAACCACATTAGCCATCTTCCACAACTCTGGCACAACACCAGTAAGGATGGACGCATTGAATACACTCGTTAATGGCTGACTAAGCTCTATCTTGCATTCCTTAAGTACCCTGGAAAAAAGCTCATCGGGTCCTGGGGACTTATTTTGCTTCAGTTTGTCTATCTGTTGAATAACCATGTCCCTCGTGACAGTAATATTAGTTAACTTAAATTCATCAGGAACTAAATAATTCTTAATTACTGGAATCTCATTTACATCTTCCTGTGTAAAAACTGACAAAAAATAGTCATTAAATAAGGAGCACATTTCCAGTTCGTTATCCGTCAGCTGTCCATTCCCAATTTTCAGAGGTCCTACTTTTTCCTTCACCTTCGTCCTATACACTTGAAAGAACCCTTTTGGATTAGTCTTTGATTCATTAGCAACTCTAATTTCATAGTCACGTTTAGCCTTTCTAATCCCCTTTTTTACTTCCCTTTTAAGCTGAACATACTGGTCAGTAAGGTTAACCTCTCCTCTTCTGATGTGCCTATAAATTCCCCTTTTCTCCCCTAATAGATGCTTTAGCCTCCTGTTAACCCATTTGGGATCATTATTATTAGACCTAATTTCTCTCTGGGGAATGTATATGGAGTGAGTATTAGTCTCCGTGCTATTCCAAACATTTCACAATAATTCATTGTATTTGGTGCTTGTAGATTGAGTGTGACTGGAGTGGTTGAGGCCTCTACCACTCCAGTCACACTCAATCTACAAGCACCAAATACAATGAATTATTGTGAAATGTTTGGAAGAGCACGGAGACTAATGCTCACTCCAGCATAAACAAAGCCACACTGACAATGCGTCAACCACTTCCTCCACCACTGCTTCAACCCTTGTATTTTTGTACAATTTCCTTCTTCAATTCTATCGTATTTATTATTATTATTATTATTATTATTATTATTATTATGATTATGATTATTATTATTATTTATTATTTATTATTATTATTATTTATTATTATTATTATTATTATTATTAGCAGTAGCAGAAATGTTTGATTCTTTGCTGTGTTCAAGAGTAAACACATGATGCCACCTTCCAATACCTGTCTGAATAGCCATTCTAATATGCAGTCATGGATGGGTTTACATTATTTATACTGTAGTTTAATAGCAAATAATAAACAAAACACTCACCACACAGTGGTGGGAGGGCTGGCTGCCAGTTGC